TGCATAGCTTTTATTTTTAGATTTTATAGCAGTTCATGTAGTGTAATTAAATAATGCAAATTACACACAATTAATTGGACATTAATTGTCCATTCTTAACATGATTTGATTTGTTACGAATTGACTTAATCCGCAAACGGCAACAGATGATAATATTGGTGCTTGGCGGCGTATTTATTTTCAGTGAAGATAACACTATCATCCGCTGCTGACATGCATAAACAATTCGTTACGACCATCGATGGTACACAAATGCGTAAGATAATAATTTTCGTATATAAGACGATACACACAACCACAGTCAAACTCATTTCTTTAAATTTGTCTTCAAAGTGGTGTTTTGGTTAAAGTTCATGAACAGGGTGTTCAACGAAGAACCCTCAATAGTTAACACAAATTTATGTTACACACATACAAGCTTATTTTACTCGCTAGCCAGAGGATTAGTCAATTGCATGTGTATGATCATTCTCGATCTGAGCCGTGATTTTGATATCTTACAAATATATTCTTTCAAATTATTAAAAAAAATTTTCTTTTATATACACGTAATTATGCATTTTTTTATGTTATTATTATTATTATCTGTGTAGGGCTCTTACACTTAATGTTTAATTTTTGTATAATTTTAATCTTTTTCTATGTACAATTTGCATTTTACCTTTATTATCTCTAATTTTAATATTGTTATTATTTCTGTTATTGTGATTATTTAATTGTCTGAGAGTCTTCCGAACATTAATGCATAAGGCCGTTGGTGAAACACAATGGAAAGTGCTGTGTTATTGGAATTGGTAATATTGGAAGCTTTTTATGCAAACATCCCAATCGTGTGGACGGATGTATGTACTCATTAAATATTTGATGACTGCATTCCATTATACCAAGCGGCTGATGGTGATGTGCTGTGAATATCATTTTGCCCATTTGGAGGTACTTGCATAGGTCGTTCGTCAAGGTATTTGTATGGTCTGTACTTTAGTCCTATGAACGTCGATGAACGTCTTCATACGTCCGTAGCCCTGAACAAAATTTTCGAAGACTGCCTTTGTCACAGTTTTGGTGCTTTTGTCCATAACTGAAATTTTCTGCTACCAAGTAAGGTCTATGACATTCCCTATTTGTTTAACGGTCTATCCAGATATTGACTACGAACTTTGTTATTTTTACGGCCGCTTTAAGAGAATCGGAGGCTGTAAAAACATTTCATTGCCGAAGTAGGTAGTTCGAGAGACAGAGGGGGTTTAGATTTATGTCTTACGGACACTCCGCGGACGGTTACATAAACGAAATACACATGCTACACCCTTATGGAATATACGGATGTATGAAACCCACTTACTGAGCCCTGTGCCAATTCTGTACCCTACCCTATTAACGGTCTCCGTTTGAATCATGATTCACAATAGTAGACTCCGAAGATCAGTCCGATAACCCTTAACATGCTGCCTTCTCATCAAATAAAAATGTTAACACATCTTTCTATATATTTAAAGAAAAATTTAAAAAAAACTAGGAATTTATTAATGTATTAAAAAAAGAAATTTTTATTTAAAAACTATTTTTAAAATAACCAAATATAATAACATTAAGAATAAAGCAAAAGAAAAGAAAAGAAATATAAGTACTTTAAGATTTACGCTAACTTACAAATATCGTATTGCATAAGGTACGATGAATATAGAGCATCGACGAAGGTGAACTGACATGTTCATGGCGTTGAATACAGTGACGAATATGTTTGGTGACCATTATCTAAGGTTATTGGAACTTTTCATTTTCAATAAATACATTTTTCAAAATATTTTATTGATTTTCCTTTCACAACGTTGAAATTTTATCGAAGAAATTAAACTTAGTTTTTAATTGTTATATATTATCGAGCAAAGTATGTTTTCGTTATTTTGATGTTTTGATAGTTTCTTGTGTTCGGCTTTTACAATATACTTCTTTTTAATACCTTAGCTTTCTTGCAGATAGTTTTTGCTGAAAAGTCCAGTGATTTTGTTTATTCAACTTTTTGGTGCAAATTTACTTTGTTGTTATAATACAATTTTTCGCAATTGCTTCTTGTTTGATAATTTCTTCGTGATACGTTTCGTTTTAAAATGTCAGGCATGTTAATGGAATTTTTTATTTTTATTGATTTTTATTGTTCAATTGATATTCTATGTGTACGAATACATGCATAGAATAAACATACGCGTGTAGGTACTGACGAGCCTTTACTGCTTAAATTACTCAGTAATATTGCAGTTGGATTAATATTATAGCACTATGCCCTTTGGTCTAGCCGGAAATATTTTCGACATTACGCTTTGTTTACATTATTATGTCTTGCATTAGAAATTCGATTTTTCAACATGTTCTCATTGCCGTGGAGATAACTAATTATTTAATTTTATGGTGTATAAAGTAAGCATACGTATATATATTTTTATTTATGCAATTTACGAAAATATATATCACCTCTATCCTTGGATTTTATTATTTAATTTATTCTATTATACTAGTTGCGTACTTTGGTGCGTGTCGTTCGATGACTTATCAAACTTATTGCTGACTTATCAAGTTTCTGACGGCACATTTCAGTTTGCTTTTACTATTCACACGGCCGCCAATTCACCTGTCTTTTCCGTGATATTCACCACTTCTATTGCGTCTATCAAACTTCTTAAGTTCCGCTATCGTAATCGGGAATGAGACTTAGGTGCGTTATTACGAATTCCTGAGTGTGTATAATTTTGTCAATGCAAGCTTTTGTTGTTTCGGGATTATTGTTCGGGATGTTGTTTCTACTACCGGAAGCGAATTTTTGAGTAGCATTTCAATTTCTCTCTGGTTTGAAACAGTCTTAAAAGTATTTCTCAGCAGCACATTTATGCGTCTCTGTTAATTGTTGGTAGTTTACGCTTAATATTAGCCTAGTTGGTTCAAGGCATTGGACAAGATGTTGTAGGTGTTTATTTATTGTTTCTGCACTTAGCAGCCTGTATACATTCGGACTATTGTATGACTTCCTGAATTTTTCTTTAATGTTGCACAATGGCCTCCCAAACCATGCAAAATTCTCTAATTTATTGGTTGTATTGTTGTGGTTCGTATTGTGCCTGACTAAAATTTTGTCGGAACATTTTTTGTTCAATTATATCCTGATAGTCTATGGTATCCACGTCATCACCAAAGGGCTGTGGGTGCGCTTGTTCTTGATGCAGTGGTGTGAAGGGTGATTGTTCGATTTTCGAGTCGGGGATGTTGGATTTGTCGGAGACAGAGGTCACGTTTTACGTGACGATTAAGGGATTGGTGGAAAGGACTTATTTTATTCGCCTGCTTTTTGTATCTTTTTTGAGATGCTTTTTATGTAGTATATAAGTTGAGGACCATCTTAACAAAAATTATAAAGTCACGAATCACTCCAACAAATAAAGTAAGCACTTCATAAGCAACCAGTGTCATGCGAATGCATCGTAAACACTCACCATTCTCCTATTGCATGTTGCCATAGACATTATTTAATTTCCAACGAAAATGCTCACTGTCAATTAGTGGACAATGCAAAGATTTCCTGCAAGGTAGTTTGTAAAAACTTTACCAACTAAAATCTTTTACCAACTTCAATCATTTGAGCACGAAAAATAATAAATTTGTTAAATAAATTAAAAATAGTGTTTTAATCAACCAAATTTTATAAAAAAAAAAATATATATTATAACCTATTGTACTTATACATTGCTAGCAATAAGTGCTAAACTCGTTGAAAGGAGTAACAGATATTACAAGGACTGTAATTGAGGAAGGTATGCGCTCTATTATTTCGACGTTGATGATTATGTTGGCGTTAAGTTTGCCAAATTTTGTTTGTTTACTTCCAATATTCTGAAAAATTGTAAAATTTTATATATACAAACTCTTGGTTATTGAGTGCTACTTTTTGATTCGGACGCGACTCTGTTGCGACTAATGGCTTGCATTTTACCGTTAAGATATATCATAAATTTAGTTAGGCCTTAGCGTAGGTCATGTCAACGTGTCGTTTCAACTTATATTTACTTCTTTCTATTAAAAAGACAGCTTTGAACATATCTGGTAAAGGTTGATCACTTATTTTGATTGTAGCTGGAAGTTCTTATTGTATAAATTAACTAGGCTATCTAAATGCTATTATATTTGAATATGTATCAAGATTATTACGCTTAGGTTATCTTCCTTATTTAATAAACTAAATACTAAAGTCTTGAACCGTAATGAATATGTGAAGCAGCTACAATACTGCAAAAATAAGCATAAGCATTTATATAGAATACTATGTGGTTTAAGCGACTTAAGGAGTGCTGATAAGTAAACAGGCAGAAGACAACATTTTTCGGTAAATAAACATTAATATATATTATATGGTGTTAATTGAATTGGAATAAGTTAAGAAGATACGAGTTAAAAAACATAATATAAAATATAAAAATAAGTGGTATCGTTTGGAAATGAAACTGAGGGAAGCGTTCAAATAGAAAAGCATGTGTAAGAAGAATGAACTCAGGACGGGAGGTGAATTTTTTTGTTTAGTTACTAATACCCGTAGTAATCGTGAAACAGGGGAATATAAATTTTCTTGTGAAGGCCACAGGCTTTGTTTTCGTGGGTGAAAACATACGACCCATGTCAATAAATTCTGAGCCTTCCAACGTCATTATTTGTTTTCTATTTCCTTCTCCTGAGTGGCATCTTGAATATCTTATTTCTAATCAAATATTTAGTTATTAATTTACAATCAAAATATCTTATATGCTTTCTACTATTTTGTAAATATGCAAATACAGATACATTAAATACCGTGTTAGATAAGCAATTTAAAATTAATTAATTTTAACAGAAACGCAGATTTTGCATGTATTTGCTTTTTGCACAGTAATTCTTGTCCATGTGAAATATTTTCAAGTATGCGCCACCCAGTGTTGTAAATATTTGCTAAATATTATTTTGCATAAATTTTTCTGTTTTAGGGTCATGTCAACCACTAAGCTCCAAACGTTAACAAGTGCAGAAGAAAACTTTCTGGCATCCTTATCGACCAGAAAATCCGTCAACAATCGCAAAAACGCATCGAAGCTGAAACTTGAAAAGTTCACAGGATGTGTTTCAGTTGTCAGCACATCAATCCCTGGGACGACCACTCAAGAGACCATTGCATTAAATAAAAATCTAAACTCTAGTACGCCCCGTAATATTTCAAATTCAATGGCAAGTAAGTTGACTGATTCCAAGGGCTTTAAACGTTATAAACAAAATTTTAAGAGTGTTAATCACTTTGCAGCACAAAGTATACCAACCGCAATTGATAAAAAAAACGATAAATTGGAAAAATCCAAAAAGAGCACGTTACGCAGACATGATATAACGGTGAGTACAAACATTTCAAAATAGTCCGGTGTTCATACTATTTATTAATTTGGCATTACTATGTAATAAAACCAAATTTCTAATATACAATTCTCAAAAACCCGTAATACCCTATATTACAGTAGAATTGGGGCATTAAATAGCCATTTTCTGAGCAACGTCACAAAAATGTGACAAGTCAAAGCATTTCTGTTCTCATCATCGATAGATAGTAGTGCGTTTACTTTGTCAAAAATTCGTGGGAACCATCTGTATGCGCAGATGCACAAACAGTTTTTGGTATTTCAAAGCGTATAACCGCTCATCATCGTGTTGAACAAAATTTTAGCTTAGATAGACGTTCGTTGTGCCTAATAATCGCTGGAGCATGCTTGTTTTACATTAGGATTTCTAATCTCTTGTAATATGTGATTTGTAAAATGTTTTGTTTGAAATGGAAGAGGGGTTGTTGATTTCACGCACAATCAAACGAGACAAGTTTGATCGTTTTGAAAAGATGAAATTTACGGTATTTTGGGTTTTTTGGTTTGATTTCTTGGTTTCGAACATGCAGAGATAATTTCACGAAAATTGCAATTGATTAACAAGATAGAATAATGTTCACCGATAGAAAGATAGATAGAGATCGTTAATATCCGGTGATAGAAAAAACAAAGACAGATTAAGAAAATTTTTTCGATACAAAATTGTTGGTGGATCATTGAAGTAACTAAATAAAGTTTAAATGTTAATAGCAAAAACAGAGATGAAAAGTAATAGAAAAACTCAGGCTTACTTTAAAAGGGTTATTTTGTAGTACAAACGGACAAAATAATAAAAAAAGCAATATGGCGGAGGTCTTTCTCTATAAGTGGACAGATTTTCAATATGTTTAAAAAAAATTCATGACTTTAAAATAAAATTTTAGAAATACTTAAGAACATTTAATATCACGTTTCGCTCAATATTTTTGTTTAATATAAATTTTAGACAATTAACTTCGTTTGGAACACATTTTTTACTACATTTATAAACTACGTAATATCTATATGTGTACGTAATGGAAAAATTAGGATAATCTGAATAATTATCGAAGGAAGAAGCACGTAGTAATTGGTTGGTGATATAAAAAAAAAACAAAAGATGTAATCGATTAATTAACTAAAGTTTTTCACTAAAACTTTATGGAAACTTTTTTGACTTGCAGTGAAAAAAGGTTATCGGTATTTTTTTTAAGAAAATTACATTTACGTTTATCGAAAATGTAATTATTGTGGTAAGCAAACAATCTCGATATTCTCTCTTTGCTTGGTTTTTAACTAAGTGCGCTACGGTCATTGCCTATATCTGCGTTTTATTACATTAATAATTACTCGTGATTCATCGCATTACAACAAAGAAAAACAGAAACGAAACATTAACATTAAGAAATCCATTATTTTTCGGTAGATGGCTGCACTGATAGATTTCTCGTAAAGTATCCATCAAACAATTTCAGATTTATGCTCGTTGGAAAGGTGACATTTCGCATTAAAAAAAATTCTTTTGCTGTTTTTTGTTTGGTGCATTCAGTTGTGAGTTACAGCGTGTTAAAAATGGAAGTGAACAAAGAGAAAATTCGGTACATTTTACAGTTTTTCTTTGACAAAGGCGAAAATGCAAGCCAGGCGGCTAAAATTGTGAATGGTGTTTATGGTTCCGATACTGTAACAGCCAATTATGTGCAATTTTGGTTTCGTAGATTCCGTTCAGGAATTTTTGATGTTAAAGATGCACCTCGCACAGGTAGGCCGGTCGTCGAAAATGTCGATAAAATCGGAGAAATGATCGAAGTTGACCGGCATGTTAGCAGTCGTAACATCGCCCAGGAGCTAAAAATCGACCATACAACAGTTTTAAACCATTTACACAAAGCTGGATTCAAAAAGAAGCTCGATGTTTGGGTGCCACACCAATTAACAGAAAAAAACATGATGGATCGAATTTCCATCAGCGAAGCCTTGGCCAAACGGAATGAGATAGACCCATTTCTTAAACGGATGGTGACTGGAGATGAGAAATGGATCACATACGATAACCCTGTGCGAAAACGATCGTGGTCAAAGAGCGGTGAAGCACCTCAAACGGCCAGGAAGGTTTTTCTATGCATTTGGTGGGACTGGAAGGGGATTATTTATTATGGGTTGCTTCCATATGGCCAAACGCTAAATTCTGATCTCTACTGTCAACAACTGGACCGTTTGAAGATAGCGATTGACCAGAAACGTCCAGAATTGCCCAACAGGAGAGGTGTCGTGTTCCACCAGGACAACGCTAGGCCACACACATCTACAGTGACTCGCCAGAAACTTCGGGAGCTTAGTTGGGAAGTTTTAATGCATCCGCCATACAGTCCGGACTTGGCACCAAGCGATTATCATCTTTTTCTTGCATTGCAAAATATCTTTAATGATAAAAAATTGGAATCCAGGGAGGGTTGTGAAAATCGACTACTAGAGATTTTTTCAAATAGAGACCAGGGCTTCTATGAGAGAGGCATTTTGAAGTTACCTTTAAAATGGCAACAAATCGTACAACAAAACGGTGCATATTTGACCCAAATCGCACAATCCGAAGCATGTTAAATAAAGTCCTGAAGTTCATATAAAAATAATGGATTTCTTTTTCCCTAACCTAATATATATATATATTGTCTTCCTTATTTTTATTCTCCTCTAATACATATCACTTGCAATACCTAAAAAAAATACAGGCATATATTTTGATTTCAGATAAACTTAAGAAAACAAAAATGGATTACTAGTTTGAAGCAACCCAAAAAATTTACAGGCTTGTTTATAAATCAATCATATTTCAACTCGATCATAAATCATTTATATACGTACATGTTGAATATTTAAAAAAAAGCAACTAATGCATAACCGTGGGTGCCGCTAGTTTGCTACAACAGATTATGAAAACGTTGTGCATATAATAACGAAAATACGAAATACGACAGATGCCCGCTGTAATTGGATTTGCTGCGGCTTTTGTTGACCGCTGTTGAAATGTTATAATGGGGGCTTTTAATAATTTTAGTTAACATACACGTTTATATAAGGGGGTGAAAAAAATTTTTTGGTTTGAAATCTTTCACTTTTTTATTGCTTTGAATTACTTTAGCGGAAATTTTACTGATACCTTTATTTTGTTTTTACATCAGTAATCTTAGCGAATTGTCATAAATTGTAAATATTTTACTTTTACTGTTGTCTCTTCATGTAGTATCATATTTCGACAATTTTACAAAGCAGCTTTTTCACACCTTTTTCTTTTCTTTAGTACTTTTCAGTTTTAAGGAATTAGTATATTATTTACTTTCGACAGGTGCAGTTTTAAATAAAAATTTTAAGCTAAATGAATTTTTCAACATGTCAATATATATCTCAATGAAGTAATGCTCTTCGGATTTATAGTAAGACTTCAAGTATAACGTTTCAATATTTCACATTATATATAAATACATAAACGTTAAATATAGTACTGTTACACAAATTCCTTTCAAAGTCTAGACCTTGTAACAATGTTCACACATCACCTCTATGTGCAACACAGCGCTCTTTTCTCATTCACTCAATAAATCTTCGCTTAATGTGAAAATTACTTGTTTTCCGGAACTTCACCAAAAACACAAATCCGTTTTAAAGCATTTATTTTCAGAACAAATTCACATAAACTGTTACATATTTTAGCTCATACAATTTTACTTTTCTTCTCATCGTCACAAAACCAAAAACCTCTAAAGTTTTTGGTTATCTATCGCTCTCTTTCCGCGCCTAAAGCTATGTCAAAACAATCTGTCGGCGTGTACGAACTTCGGTCATGCAGAGATGTATTCCTAATAAACCAAAATTGCTAAGTTAAAAACATTACAAAAGCGAGAAGAACTTATTGTTATAAGAATTTTAATTAATTTTCGCTCATCAATCCAATATATCAGAAAGCAGTCTGTATACAATAAATTAAAAATATTCGGAACGCACAAAAGTTGTTAGACTTGGTAGAAAATAGATGTTGGTGACTGTATCTACAGGTTTAAATTACCTTATTTAGCATTATGCGAAACCAAATAACTTATTAAGTTTAAAAAAAAAATGTATTACGTTGTGCAACAAAGGTAACGAACGCCTATTATTATATTATATATTTCTTCAACTAGTTTTCATTACTTCCTATTTTTTCTTATATATATATATATATATAAATATTACATTAAAGGTGCTAACAATTGATTAACACTCATATATATATTATATTAAACTTTTTATTTTTTTTTTGCTGTAATTAAAATGGGAATATAAAAATTAATCTTTATTAAAATTTGTTTAACTTATGAAATTAAAATAGTTTACGGCTCATCGGAGCCAACTTCAGAGTCTTCCATAGACATCATAACCCGAACGAGATTATGAGGTAGGGCGCGTAATGAAAGGCTAAGGGCTTACGGTATTATCGTTTGCTAATTTCGGTTTCGTCCGTACGTGTTTTCATTAAAAGCCATCGTGCCATTTTTTTAGTCGTAACCGTCTGAAGAGCGTCCGAGAGGCAAGATTTAAAACCCCCCAACATCTCTCAAACTGACAAAGCCACATACATCGATCTCATCAATTTCCGATTCTCTAATAGTTGCCAAGAGCTACCAAATAATTTAGTTTTTGTTAATAAAGATAGACAGAACAACCTAAAATTGGTATTTGGTGCGTCGGGAGTCTACAAATCGTAGGTTGGCGTAACATAGTTGAGTTCATTACTGTGCCATACATGATTAAATGATGATAGCGACATTTTGGGGAAGTTCGATGCGGAATATACCTAGAATGCGTTGATTATTAATTATTATTAATCTTGATTGTCACAGACTTATCAAAATTATTACTTCGTAAAGAAAATTTGTCCATTATGGATTGCGGCTTCGATTTTTCACCGTGCGCTCGATGTACATGCCGGACATTGAACGACAAAGGGCAAACAGCAAACTAACAAATAAGCAAACGCAACTTAAGCAGACGGGCATGCCAACTTGTTGGAGTTGCTAATCTTGTCATACTTTAGTATGTGCCTACTACACCGTGTCCGCAAAAGAAAAGAACAATTTCCTACTGCTACTTTTAGATAAGTGTATCTTGGCTCCAAAAAGAACATAAGAAATTCTGTCTGTCTTAAGGATAGTTTGTGCCGGGTCAATCTTCGCATATATAAAGTAAACGACTTGACAAAAAGTAGATTGTGTAATTTTATAAACACTTTAAAGCTTTACGTCAGGTAATCTCTGCATCGGAAAGCTGCTGATCCGTCACCGCTTTACTTTCAATACGTGAAGATCATACATAAAATTAACATTTTGCCGGCAGTTTCAAAAAGGAAATAACAGATCGAGTTTTTATTAATAGACAGGTCGTGGACATCAGAATGTTCATTGTAATTCAAATATAATTTACTAATTTATAATTTAATAATTTATATTGTTAATAACGGTAGATAAAATTAAAAATTGGAATAAGTTTTATGAACTTATCTTCGTTACCATTGTATTGAAAATATTTATAACAAAGTAAAGAATCAACGTTCTTTATTTTACTACAAATTTTTCTAAATACTTTCTAAATTAGTAAGTATAATGAAATTAGTAAGTATATATACTTATAGAAGTGGTTATTAATATAGGTTAACATTAAAAAAATAATAAAGGATAAAAAATTTTTAGGTGAATAATGAGCACACGTAACAATGGAATAACTTTCCTCGAGTGGATTTTAAATTTCTGTCAATTATATTTTTTCTGTTCTTTTTCCCTATGTTATATAGAACATCCAAGAGGAACAAACAAACTGCAGATATTGCAGCAAGCCTGTGTATAAGATGGAGGAAATAAAGGCCGAAGGACAAATTTACCACAAAGCATGTTTCCGTTGTAACAAATGCTCCAAACAACTCAAGTGCGTATAAATTGTAGGGCATTATGTAGACACATAAACACATTTACATTTTTTTAGAGTTGACAACTATCAGAGCCATGAGGGCGTACTATACTGTCTTGTGCACTTCAAATTGATTTTTGCCCCCAAATTCGCCGAATGCAACGAGACCGAAGAACCATGCAAGCCCGAATTAATAATACGTGAGAATCAACCGGCAGAGCTACCATCAGATGTCTTTAGAGGCAAGTAAAAAAAAAAACATAAGAAAAAGTACAGATAATTCAACTTGCAATTTTAATTCAGCTTCCGACAAACCAAACTTAGGGCTTGAAGAACTTCAGCAACTGAATGTTCGCTCCCGATTTCATATTTTCGAGAAAGCTGGGCACACCGATAACAGACTTGTTAATGTTGCAATGAATGGTGACGATTTAATACGCGGTGCCTCTATAACGACTAAAAAAAAAAACCTCCAGGAACAAGGTTCACGCGTGATTGAAGAAGATTTTTCAAATTTGGCTCGGGGTTCGAAAAACCAAGGTCAAGACAGAGTTCACGAGTCAGATATCATTAACGAAAGTTTAACAGATAACGAGAAGCGCAGGAACATAAGAACAGATTTAGATGATACAATAAACGATTTAAAAACACGCTTTGAATTAGGGAAAGGCATCTCGAAAGAAGAACGTCGCGAAGAACGAAAACAAGAAATTCAGAACATTCGCTCACGTTTGTTCATGGGTAAACAAGCTCGCATTAAAGAAATGTATCAACAAGCCGTAATCGAATCCGAACATGGTAAATTTTATCTAATTATTTGAATTCTCTAGATATGGCTCATACAGGAGGAGAATATTGTAATCATTTATACATTTAACCTTGACGTCGCGATAAAACATGCAACTTTTGTCTAATTTATTTTCACAGCAATAGAAAACAAGAAGGTGTAGCTTATTAGATAAAGAGCTTCATTTCTATTTCGGTACAGATTTTTTTTCTTCGAAAAGGCAACTCAGGCATAAGTTCTCAAAGTAAATATTCCGCAAACCTCAAATAGCCGATATTTTATTGCAGGCAAAGCAGTGATAATATTAAGAAAAACTATTAGTATTATGTGAGTGCTATTAGATACAAAAGTGTGAATAAGGACAAAACAAAAACAAGAGAGTACGGTTATCACATTTTAAGCAACGACTCGTTGTTCGTGATATGCATTAACATATGTCTAAGAAACAGCTGTGTTCCGCGCTTTAACACTGTTGTGATACAGTTTTAGAATTCATGTCTGATTTTTGGAACAAACCAGTTAATATAACTGCGGAGTCCGTATCTTTTTGGCAGAAAATAAATTCAATCACCTTTTTAAAGAATCGAGGAAACATTGATTGAAGTATACACACCTATCACCTTCGAGCTCCTTTTTTAGTTTAATTACAATTATTTGAGTTACTTTCGTTGTGCAAAAATGAGTTTGCTTCTTAAGTAGACATTATGAGAAAACATTATTTCCTTTTTCTACAGTCCCCTGGGGTGTACTCACTATTCGCGAGCTTGCCGAAGGCAAGCATTGAGGCATTCTCGATGATGAATTCGTGGTGCAGTGAAGTGTTACAGTTTTACCATTACTGTAATGTAAAAAGAATTGTATATTAGTTTCCAGTGCGAGTCCTTTTTAGGTTGTTGTTTTATTTTTCAGTCGGTCACAGTACTTGCTTTGAGATTCCGTTCCTCTGTAAGGCTACGGCTGCATAATAGCTGTAGTTACTTCACTGACGTGCTGTTGATGGCTATATGGCAATATAGGGTCAAAATTTAAATTTAACCATGGATTTTGGACATGTAAATATCTCTTCTTGCCTTTTGAGATTATACGCCGAAATATATTTGTAGTATATCTCGCGTTCTGATGTCCAGTTGCTAACCATCTATTATCAAGCATACAAAAAAGTACAAAAAAATTTTTGTAATGTATGTTTGCATTCTCTGCACATTGCATGATGGTTTTATGTAATTATATTAGCATATTTTTTAGTTACGCGATGTTGTCAAAAAAATTTGACTGTAAGCTCGCATGTTTGTATAAGCAATATGGTCCTTCCTTTGAAATTGATCTCGTGTGAGTTGTCGTTTAAAAACGAAACCGCTTATTCGCTTTCTGTGCGAATTTTTTTAAAAAGGTTTCCAGCTGAGAAAACTCAGTAAATCGTTATTCATGTTTCAATTTAAACAACCAAACTTTACAATTTAATTTTTATATATCAGTATCAAATGGTATTGCTAACTTGGTCAGGCTCCAGGCATAGTCCTTTTCTTATCTAATCCTTATATGAGTGAAGAGAAAATGGTGATTGTCTCAGTATGCAGAGTTAATCAGAAATAGCAGCTTTAGTCAAGTCAGGATGGCTTCAAACTTTCGACCACCAACTGACAGCTTGCTCAAGCTATAACGAGCTTGGATTGATAAGTATGATGAAACAAACTGTGATCTTATTATAACTCTAATTGAATTGTTGGTGCTCATCTTGGGAACAGAAATTTTTATATATGGGGCAGGCAAAATTCACATAACGATATAGGAGACAAATAATTTTCCAAGCTACGCTATAACTATAAACTAAGTAGCTTCATTTATTTATTATGAACAACTAGCTAATTTTCGAATTCATTTTTTATATTTAGGGTCCACGCATTACAGAGTTAATAGGGCTTCTCTCACAAACTCACGTCGATATATAAGTCTGTGATAGTATAGCAAATTTTTATAAATCTAATCAGAGAATCAAAATAACCCATCCCAAATTGTAATTGATGCTGACCATGTGCCTTCTTCATTTAGTTTGATTTAAAAAAGTGAGTAAAGTGTCGATTACGTTCTGCAACTGCTTTTGATAATGTCTTGACTGTAGGATTTTATCTTTCTTTTAGTCATTTATATATCAGAATTTATCTGTGATTTTATCCTGTATTCAACATGTATTAGTTTGGTAAAGTCGGCATAACAATTAAGTATATTAAGTTTGTGCAAAGCTTACCTCTCTCTCTCTGTCTCTCTATCCATGTATTGTTGCATTAAACTTTCAAAATTTTGAAGTATTAAATGGATGCGATTTGGAATAGATAGATAATTTTTAAAACCTCCTCCTATATGGCTGTTCTTACAAAAAGTTAACAAGTATGATAGCAAATTTGACATAAAAATGAACTGTACTAAATTTTAACCACATAGATAATATTTTAAACAACCCACACAGGAGTTTTCAAGTTTCAAGAAGTTATTTGAATAGGGGGATTAGGCACCACTTATATATTGCGATGAGCACTATCGCTCCACCCACTTCTGACTCCACAAAAAATAAAAAAAAAAAGGAAATAGATGCTTCTATTGTTGTCCTGTCAGCAATAGGAGGATAAATATCATTAACCTCAGTTGGCCTATGAAACGTATATCAAGCACTTGGTCTGCCCAGTAGGACGGCTCTTCCAGACTGGTCAGTTAGGACAGCACCTTCTCTTAGTAGTGAAATCAAAACTCATGTGTATGCAATTTACTGAATCATAAGGTGGAGCAAGCGTTGGCATCTAATGCCTCCCAAAGAGCGACTTAGACGCTTCAATTAACACTTGAAGCAAAACGACATATTTTAGAAAACGGCAGCTGAAACCTTTTTCTGACGTGTTTAACTAAAATAAAAAATAATAATGTTTTATAGAATTCTTTAGAATTTCTTTTTCAAGTGAAAAATTATACTTGCATGTTAAATTAGAATCTCGTAAGCTCGTTTAAAAAAAACAAAACAGGAAAAACTCTTTTATATTTATATAATATATATACAAAAAATATAAAAGAGCTTTTCTTTTTTTTTTTTTTCTTCTGGATTTTTGGTAAATGTGCCCCGGGATAGCATCCATAACAGCTAATACAACAACAAATTATTGTAAATGTAAATGACTTTGAGGATTATTTTGTGAATAATATTGATAAGAAGACGAGATTGAGGATGGCTGGACATAATGCTGAATTAACTTCCTCATCTGCTGGTCCATCGGAACTTGATAACCAGGTTGTTCTCATTTGTCAAAGGCATTCCAAGTCTTGAAATTAATTTGTATGACAGTACTACGCTGTGTAATTTTTTTGTATCTGTTGAAACCTGTAAAAATGCCGAGGATAAACGCATGAATATCTTTTTTGATCTTTTTTGTTTGAAACATCGAGATTAATTTTTCACTTACTTTGTTCGCTTTTTCGTCTAGTCATTTTAAAACACACAATTATTAATAATGAAAAGAATTATTAACTGATGAATACGGATGAGTACGCCCGATCACTTCGCAAACTGCAATAAAAGTGATGAAAAAATGGTATTTCTCGACATAAAATTAAACAAGCGCTATCGCGCTGCTTGGGTATTTTCGTACATATATAGGGAAAGCGCGATTGCGCTGTTTAGGATTCTTCGACAGTGTTTTTTCAATACCATCTGGCACTCAAACGGTCAAAAAAGGTTTCAAACGTATTTCCTATAATTCTCCTGTAGACATTGTTATCATCAAAACCATGAATCTTAAACAGAATATTTTCATAGCTTCATGCTATTTTCGACCCAGTGTTGTTGGACAAACTTTTGATGATGAGATTCGCAAATTATGTGACTTTCTTGATGGTGAACAAAATGCGATTCTGGCTGGAGATTTCAATGCTAGACATTGATTGTATGGCGATCAAGTCTCGATCAACAAACACAAAATCCTTGTAAATGCCATCAACACTAGCAGTTTTAATGTCTTAAATAATTGTAATAGTACCTTTCACTGTAACCGGAGTGGTGGCCCTACGAGCAGTGTCTTGGATATAACTTTTTCTAATTAAACTATTTTGTCATTCAACTGGAATACGACTTAGGTCTCAACTGACAAAAGTCAACACTCTCCCATTTGATTTTATAGCTACAGCAATTCCGTTAAAAAATAAAAAATTTCATAAAATGAGTAAATACACCAATCCAGCCAACTTCATTCAATATGTGAAAACAGGGAACGAATGGAGGTCTTCAGTTGGAAAAGCAAAAAGGACGCATACAGCTGTCATGATTAAAGAGCTGTGTGGCAACTGCTACTGGTGTTTTATCTAAAATTATATCAATAGTCATCGATATTTTAGTCAAAAATTAAATGCTTGTGCCGTATGGAACGACCATGATAGTAAAAGATATTTAGATGTGCTCAAGTGTGTCCAGTGTCACTCAGATTACAATACCTTGAACTCCGTTCAGTAGTCTTAACAATATACTCTTCTTATTGCGTGAATTAACGTATGTTTTACATTGCCGAAAGAGATCTACCGCTGCAGGTTGTAACAGACTTAAGTATGATATGATCAGATCACTATCTGGGGGTAGCTCAGCTATCCTGTTGCTTGCAATTTATAACTGCTGATCTATTAACTTTATACCCTTAGATGTGGGATGTATCAAAGTTGTTCCCATTCAGCAAGTAAAGACTTAAATGATTTAACCAACTTCAGGCCCATTTCGCTTATATCTGTTTTTACAAAGATTATTAACCTCATGGTGAAGGAGAGGCTAATGGATTTCTTGAAAACTGGGAACATTATTCCACCTCGTTCTTATGCGTTTCAAAAACGCAAACCTGCGAATATGCGCGTTAATGAACTAACTTTTCTCATAGCTAGTCTACAGAAAGCTGATGAGATGGTTGTTATGCTTTTCTTGGACATTAGCAATTCCTATGATTTTATTACTTGATTGGATGCTAAACTTTTTATCCAAGTGTGTCAT